TAACTATTGTCATGTCTAACAAATGCAGTTCCATTTGAAATACAGTTTTGGAAGCTCTTCTTCTTTGTACAAAAAAAAAAAAAAAAAAAAAAAAAGCCCACCTCATACTTTAGAGCAAAATATACCATAAAGTTAAGAGTAATTATACAACTGTTTCCCTTACCTGTCTGGGCTGCATGTCCTTCCAACTTTAAAGGTCATTGCTAGGACTGAACAGAGGTGATCGTCTGCAAATGATGCTGTTATTTATCGTAAATGTAGCTTTCTTTCTCATTGTTGTCCGTAAATCCATTTCCATGGGGCTGCTCCTGTAGTCTATAAAACACACTGTTTGTAGATTGAGCCCATGCTGGATTATAAAACTGGGATTGCCTGGATTTTTTTCTTCTTTCTAAAGTCATATTGAAACAGAGCCACGTATATGTGTGTGGATGTTTTTTCTTCCATACTTCATATGCTGTGGCACTAAAAAAAAAAAAAAAAAAAAAAAAAAAAAAAGTAATGTATTTTTCACTATCTGGACTGGGATTTTAGTTCTAAAGGGAAATCATGCAAAAAATAGGCTAGCTGAAGTTATTCATTGCACAAAGTGTATGCAATAAGCTACTCTCCACATTTAAACACCTTATTTTTCATTATGTAATTATGTGTGCTAAACTCAAAAGAACCTTTGACCCCAGCCTTAGGTCCCACTTGGCTGAGCCTCATCCAAGTCACCCTAAATAACTAAAATTATCTCCAACTCATCCCTAAGGCCCGTATACCCCGTTACGCTTTTGTACTTATTTATAGAAGACCCAGGCTGGCGTCCTCCCCATCCTGGGGACCATTTCTGCCTTTGTCATAGCTGCAAGGTCAGGATGATCTTGCAGACCCTTTACCTGAGAGCAGACCAGGATTCTCCAGGTAACCTGAGCCCCTGATGACCTCCTTTTCGGGACCACAAAGTAGGAAATGTGTCTGGGAAGCTTAAATCCATGCCAATATACTGGACCCCTTTGATGAGGAAAAGAAATTGCTGAACAACTTCTTGCACTTGAGGTTCYCCAAATGTTTCCTAAACTACTTTTTCAGCAAACATCAGTTAATACTGCCATAGAAGAATATAACTTGTGGAATTCCTCATGCATTTAATTTTAGCTACGATAACCCGACGTTGAAGAGTGTTTTTGTTTGCTTATTTTGTTTGGTTTTGTGCTTGGTTTTGATTCRGGCGGACTCCTTTGGTCCTGTGCAAATATCACAGAATTGCACCATTCAATGGTTAAGGAAAGAAAGGCACCATCAGGAAAATTGGTTCTTCAACTATGTCTTTTTGCCTGGAGTTCTAAATTAATTATCTCTCTTAAGGGAAATAGGATGCTGAGTGGGGAATAAGGCACAGCTGTTTAAGCAGAGTATAAAAAGGAAAGATGTAAGAAACTTGGAAGAGGTGCACTTTGAGCTAGAAGCTGTGTGAGGCAGCATCATGCTTGGATTCAGACTAGCAGGATGAAATAGGTATGAATAATTATTAATATATTGTGGCTTGGATTGGGGAACTGTGTTGACCTGGTTTTGTTTGTTTTTTAGGTTTTCCTTGCACTGATAGTGAGGGGCAAGATGTTGGGGAGGAAATGTTGCAGCGCCAGTATATAGATAAGTCCTTCT